ATTTTAGTTGCTTGAGTAAGCACCTTCTGTGGAGTATTTCCTCCCTCCAACCCATACACATGCATGATATTCAGTTTCCTCTTCCATAATTTATAGGCAGCATGATTCCCTGGAGTAAGAAATTCTTTTCTAAGACCTGCTGTGGAAGCAAAAGGCAGGCAACCACAGTTCTGCTGCGGCCTCATTATCATTGTTGCATTTAAACCTGCCGTTTTTCTGCCCTTTCTTAAGTTTAATCAATCCCCATCAAACATCATTCCTCTAAGCAGAGAAAGATCAATGCTAAATGTCCTAATGAACAAATCAAAAACCCCTTTTGGCTTTGCTGCCTGAATTTAATAGAAACATACCATGCCAAAATCACCATTTTGTTATATAAGCTTTACAATGTAGAGACATTACAGCATCATGACTGAGCTGATGGATGTGATTTTTTTCATTTGAAATCAGAATTGTTTCACCATTTACAAATGTGTTACATGCACTTTTGTTATTCCCCTGCATCCAGGATATATGCCATGTTTCCAAAAAGAAAAAAAAAGCATTTAACTAAAACTGTGCATAAGGTTATAATTAAGGATTAAAATTTAAGTTTTGGACAGGGCCAAGTAGCGTGTTTAAGCATGTTAAGCATGGACACAAGGTTCCAATACATCCCTCTGTTCCACACTGAAACAGACTGTGCTTGCTTCAAACCAGATGAACAGCCCAGAATGCTCATGCATCTGCAGGCAATCACGTGGGTGAATGCTTCTTCCAGCGAGCCCCGATGGGTGAGGAGGGGGTTGGCATTAATGCCCAAGTGCCGCCAAACACCCTGCAAACTCCATCCAGTCCAGATGCTCATGATCACAAATGCAGCCTCCCCTGCCATTTGCCTACTCTGTATGTAGCCTGTGCGTATATTTAGGATGCGAATAACCATTGATGGATCTCTTCTATGGCCAATCCTGGTAGAACATTTTGTTTGAGGCAGAACATCTAAACGGCATTCTACACCCCCTCAACCCCCCCACCTTGGCGATTTGCTACCCTTTCTAATGCCAGCACTGCCCAACCATCCAACCCGGTGGCCATCCACACTCACATATTCCCCTTGGTTTGCCCTGGCTCTCATGCCAAGTTATTTCCATTAGCCAGTCCCATACAGTATTTCAGTCCTACAAGGCAGTGGGAAGGAAAGAACATTCTGTATCTGCTCGTTCCAAACCTTTAGCAACTCTAAATGCCAACCTATTTCTATTTGTTTCCAATCCATCTCCAACACGCTCAGCACGATGTAATGGATGGTACTGAGCTTCATGGAAGAGCTATCACCTAAAATCCGTGGTCATCCTTGAAGCTCACGGGGATTACTCTGCACAAACCTCGCAGTGAAATTAGAAGGGGAGGACTCTGCACATCAGGAGTCCCTCGGGGGTCCCGGTCCAGGCGGGGGGACCAGTCCAGCCCCCCGTGGGTGTTCTGAACCGCCCTGTCCCTCGGCCATTTCCCGGCTTTGGAGCCCTCTTTTCTCCATGTTTAAAGGCCGAAATGCCTCCCTTAAGGGACTGGCCGTAACAACTTCCCTATACAACTGCTGGTGACCTGCCCCTCCCCAGCCTCTTGGCTCCCCCCGATCACTGGAAGGCAGCCCACAGCCTCCCCTAAAGAGAGGTCTCCAGGCCCCTTGAGGCGAGAATAAGGAGCGGGCTCTTGAGTAACCCACGACGGGAAGCATTCGCCTCCCACCCCGCATTTCTTTCTTGCTAGGCGCCCAAGGCGACCCTTCCCCTCACAACAACCCCGCGAGGTAGGCCCGGCGGAAGGAGGGCGGGCGCCGGGCTGGGGAGCGGCAGGGCTGAGGCGACCCGCGGCCGCCTGCCCCTCCACACGCGCTCCAGGGGATGCCTTCCGCCCCACGGCGGGGAACAGGGCCGCCGCCGTCCTGCCGCGCCGCCTCGGCGGGGCAAGATGGCGGCGGCCGCGGCGGCGCGGGAGGGAAGCCCGCCCGCGGCGCCCGCGCGGGGCGGA